TTGTTTTACTTACTATATGTAAAGCGACCATTTTGGTGCTTTTTACAAAGAAGCTATGCTATGTTATTCTACAAATCCGCTTTCGCGGTTAGGAAAAGTTGAACAATATTATATTTTAACATATTGTTCTTTACTTTTCACAAGTCTAATATTTGAATAAAGTATTAGTGTTACTATAAAGCTACGCTTTCTTTGTATGGGGACAAAGAAGCTTTATTAAAATTTAGAGGGTTTTCGAATAACAAAGAAAGAAATAAAGGACAAACACAAAAATTTATTTTTAATTTTATTGAAGTTTGGCTGACCATACAACGCTGTTTCGAGTATTACCAAGTACTCTTCATCAGTGGTCTTTGGGAATAATCGAATTTTATTTAATTAGTTTATAGTCCGTATATAATTTGTTTGGACTGCAAGTGCCAGGCTTACAACTCGTGCCTGTCAAATTAGAAGAAAAATTTAATAAAGCTTCTTTGTCACTATACAAAGTAAGTCTAGCTTAACAGCAACACTAATACTTTATTCAATTATTTAAGATATATAAAATTTTTATTTCAAATCTTTTATGCTCTCCTGAAAAGTTATACGACAATAAGTGTATTTAAATTATATAACATACTGTTATTTTAACTCGTACTCTTTTCTTCCTTTACTTAATAGATATTTTATTTACCATCTATCAAATTTACATTTTAACAAAATATATATACAAACCTATATAATATAATAATTATTATCACATTCAATTAAAAAATATTATATAGAAAATGGATTTTATAATAATGTACACATATCTATTCATCAACTCGGTTCATAGAATATATTTCTATCCCCTTTATATTGCTGTTTTCCTATCTGGTAATTTGTTGATCACACAGATAATGTGGGAAAAATAATGTGGATCGCATGATATACTGCTATACTACATTTGTATATTACTTCCGTAATTGTATCTATCAGTCTCTATGTAAACTTTTGTTTGATAGGTACCTTACTGTGTTAACTATAGCACTCTATATTTCAAATATAGAGTACTATAGTCAACCGAAACCGAAAAGAGGTACCGAAACCGAAAAGAGAACGCCAAAGTCGGTCCAAAATCAAGGTTATGCTGACTGTTTTCTTCAATATTCGTGATGTGGTGCACTATGAATTCCTTCCGGACGGTCAAATGGTCAAACGGTCAATAAGGAGTATTATTTTGCCATTGTGCATCGTTTGCGTGAGGCCATTCGCAAAAAGAGGCCAGATTTATGGAAGGAAAACTCATGAATTTCACACCACGATAAAGCACCGGCTCACACAGCGTTGGTTGTGTCGCAGTTTTTGGCCAAAAACTCCACCAATATCATCAACCAAGCACCGTACTCTCCAGATATGACCCGTGTGACTTTTTCCTCTTCCCCCGACAGACCATAGAGGTCATAAGGAAAAATCGCCACACGAAAATTTTTCGACTTCTTTGTAAAGACGCCAAACAATATATAAAAAAATAAATTAAAAAAATTCTTTTATACGACACACTATCAAAGGTTTTAGCAACATTTAGGTTGCTATAGTAAAGTTTTCTTCCTCATTACCCATAGATATGTTAAATAATACTCTGTATATATTTAGAGTGCTGCCTTTTAAATCTAAAGTGGTGATCCCCAAAAGGTTAGTATTGATATAGAATTTGATACGTATAATTCAAAAATATTTGTTCACAAATCTTGAGGAGAAATAGAAGTAAACTTTTTGGTTCTATGTTTTGTAATTTTAGCTTATTTCGGTTTATAACTTTATGATCATTTTAAATATTTTGCTTATAAGCTAATACCTAACTCTACTGCATAAATAGTGTACTAAGAGTTAAGACATATTGGATTTTTAAAAAATTAAAAAAATTTTAAAATATTAGAAAAAAATTTATATCGCTATTCTCTTTAAGTATGCTGTTACATTAGTAAATATATCTAAATTATAATTTTCACTTTTTTTCTAAAAACTTTTTTTATGATTATTTGATTTCGTTTACATGATTTGATGTATTGTAATATGAGCTATATTCAATTAGTAGGAACTGCTTTTTAAAATTCTATACTGGTATTGAAATTTACTTAAAATGAGATAGTTTGAAAAATAACACTATATAAAGCGATTATTTAATTATGGATAATATTGTTCATTAGGAATGAATTTCATTATTTCTAAGATAATAACCAATAGGTATTAATAATTTATTTTATTCTATAGTACCCTATCCGCACTACAAAAGTTATTCAAATTCCTATGACTATAATTAAATCGGAGTTAAAATTAAGTTTTAGTGGATCACAAACAATGAAAAGCTGTTAGAGAGAAACGCGAGAATTGTTCTCATAGTAGTTTAATTCTAAGTAGTATTTTTTTTTCTTTTATATAAAATAAAATTAAATATTATTGTACAGAATAAAAAAAACAGTTTAAATAAAAAATAATATTACATAAAACAAACACCTGCTTGTAATAGCAATAGGAACAAAAAAGTTTTTAAAGGACTTACTTAAAGGTAAATTAGTAATTTGATAACTGATTTTAATTTGATATATATATTTGAAATTAATTTAAAGTTTAAATTGCAATGCATTTCTCCATACATAGTTAATTCTCACATCAGTTAAACCTTCTGAAATATCATTATTGTCATATTCGACAATATTAAAATTTATTATATATAAGTAAAGTTGGAAACCCTACCCTGTAATTAGTTTAAGTACATATTGTATAATGTAGAAAATAAAGTCAGTTGATTAAGATAACTCAAACAAAACAATTATCATTACAATAATATAAATGTTTTTAATGATCACAATTGGTTAAATATTATTACAAGATTATTAACCTACTATTATTAGATTATTACAATATTCAAAATCAGCAGTATTTAATACAATAATAAAAGCGAAGAAATTCTATTTGTTGTATAATTTAGTAATCCTTGTATTTTAATTCATTGACTAAATCCACAATATGACATTCGAAAGTAATTACATTCAAACACTATATTATATGCCTCCATGATTTTACCATTACAATAGGTGGATAGTACAATAGTTCTATCTGATGTTCTATTATTATTATTTATTATTGATTCAAGGAAATTCGTACAACACTTACAAAAACTATAGGTTTATTTACTAAAAATCTAAATTGACAATAACATATTTGTTGTGTGTCAGATTAGAATACAAAAAGTAATGCATATTATTAACATTATTATTCATACAAATTCTTTAATAATTAATCTTCTGTAACTTAAACCACTTTTCATAAATTTGTACAAGTTATTAATATTACTACCATTTAATAAGACAAACTTCTTCTTCGCACAGAAGTGCTTTATCAAAAAAAGGACGTATATGTTCTCTGAAAATCGAGCATACTCCAATAATATGACTTACATTTTCTATCTCATGACGATTACACAAAGAACCATCACGATTAGATATATTAAATTCTCTGGCGTTTAAATTAAAAAAATCGCATTTTCATTTAAAAAGTACGCTCTCTAAGTACTGAGTATTTTCGTAATAAAAACTATGCATAATATTATATTGCAGCTGTGGGTGCATATTATGACATCTCGACCTAGTAAGAATCTTGTTCACTCCGTTTGTATAAAGTTATAATATTATTGTGTAATAATTTAAGATCCATACTCCGCATCTGGTTATTGAAAGACCCAGTTCTAAACATTATCTGATGAAAACTCTCTACTGCACTATGTAATATGAGAATAATTTGAAATACTTTATGACTTTAAGTTCCCAACACGTTATATGAAACCACATTTAAAAAGTGAGGCAAGTAACATTTGCTACGTTTATACGACACTCTAACTTCAACTTGAACCGATTAAATTGAACATGCATATAGTGATGAAATAGTTATTTCAGGACACAAAAAATTTCAAAGAAGAATATCAGTATTATATTTTTAAAGAACCTAAATATAGTAGTATACGTGAGTACTTTGCTTATTATTGCCTCTTAGGATCAGATATCCTGGAATTATCTGTATAAATTTAATTCTTTGAATAACATAACTAAAAGATGGAATCAGACATTCGGAAAGTTACTCCTACAACAAAATCAATACAAGATCTCTTATGTGACTTGGGGTATGTGTCACTGTCTTGTTAACATCACAGATATCACTGTAACAATCAGAATTCAGAAGAGTAAATAGTACACAATATAGTTGTCATCAACCGTTAAGTGCATAAAAATGTAAAATTCCGGATAATGAAAAAGTGACAAAAATGATGTTAAAAATTTTCTAATTGAAAATTGCAGTTGTTACTTTAATTGTTTACAACGTCTTCGTTTTACTGGACACAATGCAGATATCAGTACAAGAGAATTTTTTATTCCGTATTATACAATTTAAATCAAAAGTAACTTACGCTCGTAGTTTAAATGTATCTGAATGTGAAGTATTTATTATCAAGCTTTTGGTCTTATGTTAGATATATATTTGTACTACAAATTTTAATTTAAAGTGAACGCTCTTAATAAGTATATGGGGATAACAATGGAAACTGTTCAAATAATTTAATTCATAGCACAGATTTCGATTTCACTTAAAAGACCTTCTGAAGTCTACTAAAACTTATAAAAAACATATTACTGTCATCTACCATGGTTTTCGTTAGATTTCTCTCATAGGTTAATCTAAATGTAATTAGGGTCTGATGTTGATTGTATAATATATTGTGTTCGTTAGAGATAAAAATATTTTGTCTACCAGTATTGTTCATATGGCCCAATAGTTTATAGCCCAATAGAATATACTGTAACTTTTTTTATGAGAAAAGTGAAGAACAATCAAGTTCTCATATGTAATAATAAATAAATATATGTATATTTTTGAATATATATCTTAACTCTATAATTATTAGTAACATAAATTTAAACATGCGTGCATAATTAAAACATATATGATAAATAATGGTAAGTTTTATTTTTGCGTATTTATAGATACAAATAATAACTGGACTGATGAGTGCATCTAATCACAGTAATTTTAACTTGACCAAAGTAAAATGAGTGCTTACAGAAATTCTACGTAAGTCAATATTAAAAACTATCTGCAAATTACAAGTGATTAAGAAGTACATAAAACGAAAATTTCCCAGAACTTCCTTAATGTCTAGAATTACCAGCGAATTGTGAGCTTAGTAATAAAAAATTCAAAGCAAACACAAAGCCACTGTAATACAGGGCGCCAATTGAATGGGAATCAAAGTAACCAAAGAAAATCGCACAGTCATACTTTGTGTAAGGAAGCCGCTGGATTGACTTACGAATTGCGTACGAGCAGACAGAAGTAATGTAAGACAATGATATAATCATTGAGTGTATCCAACAGTAAAAAGAAATCAACAAATATACATATATATGTATATATGTACAATAAACAGAAGCAGTCTAGCAATTAAGTTTATATAAGTAACTGAATATAAATTACATTTCATATCAAAGTTGCACGTAAACCAAAAAAAGTATAATAAAAAGATCATAAAGAAAACAATGGCCACAAAAACTGTTATAAATACTACTAAAATTCCACAAACTCGTGGAATTTCAATTATTATTGATCCAGACCAGCAGGTTGTGAATTGTAAGCAACAGCAACAACATCAATTAGAATCGTCTAAAATTATCATATTCCACAACTCAACAGCAAATACTATAACAACAACAACAACGACATCAACGAAACCGCTGTCTTCCACAACAGAACTCACCAATGAAACAAGATCAGCAGAAAAAGTAGGCCCATTGTACGAAACGTTGTTGTCAACGAAGTCCCCAGCCACTTTAAAGACATTTATCGATATTAACCGTAAACATAATAATGATGACCACAATAATGAAGTCAATAAAACTCATAACGATATTAATAAAGTACATAATGACAAAAATAATAATGAGGAATACGTGCAAGAAATTTTGAAAGAAACTGGTTACAGCGCAACTCCACATTTGTTGCTGAGAGTGGTGAGTGATCCTCATGTAGCCGAAAGAGGAAAAATCTATGAAAATGTAGCTGAAAATTCGCAGAAGACTGTTCAACTCAATTCTGAAACGACTGCAAACACTGTAAACTCATTTAATATCGAAGAAAGTAGTAAGAGCCATAATCTTAAAATTGGTATTGGTGGTGAACATGAACCAAAGCAAAAGAGCAACACTGCAAAAGACGTTAATGGCGATAATGGCTATAATGGCGATGATGAAGTTTTGACCAGCAAGAAAATTATAATAAAATGCAACAACGAAGACGAAGACGAAAACGAGCAGCAGACATCAACTAATAATGCCTCTAATGATGTTAATATTGACGATTACGCCGAATACCGAACTAAACAAAGTGAAGAAAGTCTGCACATTAGTGTTGGTAGCACTCTTATTGATGGTGATAGTGAAAATGGTAAACTCTCTGGCGGGAGTGTGCGTATTGGAGATAGTCTACAGCAGCTACAGCTACAGCCACATGTAGAGCAACATCAACATCAACATCAACAGCAACAGCAGCACCAAGAAGAGCAGCTGGAAAACGTTACTGCTGTGGAATGGCCTAACAGTCTAACGACGAAAGCTGATTGTGTAAGTGCACTGACCACGGAGAAAGATTCCCATGTGGTGAAGATACAAATAAAATCTAATCATTTAAAAACAGTAAACGCAACCAAATCTGATACTAAAATTGTAGATGCAGAAAATAATACGAAATTTGAAAAACAAGTGACCGTGGTAAAGCTAAACGAGCTAAACGATAATTTTCCGAATAAAAAAAATACAAATACAGAAAACACAAGTGCTGAATTAACAAATAACGATATTAATTTAAATATTGAAAAAATGGTGCAAAAGCCAGCGGGAGCGGGTAATATCGGTACGCATGCTCAGAATTCGATTTCGTCGGGGGGCGGTTTGACAACTGGTAATACGACGGTTACCGAGTTAAACGTTACGAATCCATCATATCTTTACTATATGATGTCTAGCGGTCAATTTTCACCTTGTGATACATTAGACAGTGGTACTGGAAGTGATTTAGAAAGCAACGGTAATAGCAGTAATATAACTTTAACCACAGGTTCTGCAAAAATTGTGACTACGTCTAATATTAGCGTTGTTGATGGTGCTGGTATTGAAGATACACCACCGAAAATAGAAATGCATTTGAAAACAACTAAAATACGCATACATAAGGATAACAAGTCAAAGGATAAACAGAATCGTATAAGCTCTAATGAGCATCAACGTGCAGGTAGTTTAACAGACAGTGAAGAAAGCGAATCTTCACTTAGCTGTGATTCCTTGCATTCTACAGAATTTATACGCCAAACATCCGTTTCGCCGACAAGTAAGGCGGCAGCAGCAAATATGTTAGCCTCATATTTGCCAGATTCATTGCTTCGCGACATACGAGATCGAAAATTTCCAACAAATGATTTTGAAGACAAATACGGTAATGGTTTAGATGTATTGGAATTAAAAAGCAACGATGATTATGCTGAAATACAAAAAGCAGTGGAGTGCATAAAACAGGAGCAAGAGTTAGAACGTAATACAGCATCAAATCACGCTACTGGCCTAATCGAAAATAACAAACGTGCTTCTTTTCCAAATAAAACATTCATTATTAATGCAGATGATGGCATCTTTGTTGACACTAAGATGAATTCTATGCCACGCAAATATGAAGCAGATAAATATTATAACTTTCATGTGCATGAGCATGAAAACTTTCGGAGCTTTGGCAACAACAACAGCAATGTATGCGACAACTTAGCAGATGACACCATAAGCCTATCGGAATACGAAGTAAAATCTGTAAATGACGATGCTTTTGCTGGCTATAAGGATATTCGTTGTGGTTCAACAACATCGACTATACGTTCCTCAAAGGGTACTGTGCGTGGAGTTAAGAATCGTGTGCGTAATGGAATAGCCACATTCTTACAACTGCAACAACCAAATGTCAAGGTGAGTACAAACATTTTATATTTACAGACAAGAACTATAATATATTGATGTTTAAAAAATAATGTAAAATAGTATAGTGTAATGTCAAATATCATAATATAAGATCAATTACACTAAAATAGATATATCTAGAAATAACATAATAAACAAACAAAATAATAGAAATAAAAAATAATAGAACAAAACGTATATATGAAGAAAAATCACATATCACAAATAAAAATAATACTAAATTAATTATAATCAAATTATATAAAATAGTGCATATAATAAAATAAATAAAATAATATTAAAAACTGAAATAAGTAAAATATAGTTCAATAAATAAAATCCAGTAAAATGAAGCAAAACACTACGAGAAAAATTCTGTCCAAAATTTTTTATATTTTAAAAGAAAAAACTTATAAAAAATATAATATAAAGTGGTTTAAATTGAAATAAAAAAGTAAAAATTATAAAACCAAATTTATATTAAATTTAATACAAATTTAAAAAATTTCCACAAACCTGCAAAAATACCATAGATATGTTAAAGACCCTTAAAATCATTTAAGTGATTGCGTTAAATATTTAAAATATATATATCAAGTCAAAAAAAAAATAAACATTCCTAATAGTAACGTGTTGCACTTCAACAATACAATAATTCAATAATAACAATAGAGCATATATTCGAAATGGCAACAAAAATTTATAACTATATACCAAACATATATCTGGATACTACATACAATAAACTTGTTATTTAAAATTAACCCCTTTCACTTCAGTCAGGGTTCAATTCAAATACATACATAATAACAACAACTAAAAAGGAATGTTAATTCAACAGTTTTTTTCGTTGCTAATAATTATTAAACAACATTTACTAAAGATTTTCTTACTTTTTAGTAGGAATTAGTACTTGATAGCATAAATAAATAAATACATTATGAGATAATGATTAAATAATTTTGGACCTACATATATGAAATGGTGAAATCAATTCAAGAAAACAAAGCCTCATATATTTGTTATAAATTGTAATTCTACATTATTACTACTACTATTAATTAGTATCAAACTACTACCTAAGATGTTTAATCAATAACTAAACTAAATACCTGGAAATACCAATAAAAAGAATACTGCAAATAAACGGAATGAACTAGTTTTGAGAAAGTTTATAACTCCTTTAACACTTCCGTAGATGAAATAAATAATGACGCTCACATATTAGAATTTTTAGAAATTAGAACGTCTAAAAATTAGTACCCGATTGTATCTAAAATTAGAGAAAATCAAATAAATTTTCATTTTATTAAGTTTTTTGTAAGTATGTTGTTGAGCAACAAAATAAAACTGAAAGCGGGGAATCACCACACTTGTTATATCTTTTTCTATTTCAAAAACATTAAGAACTTAATGAAATGGTGCAAAAGGAAATTAGAACTACCGTAAAAATAAAGCGAATTTAATTTCTAAGATTCAATGGTAATCTATTTGCTATTTTCTTTTCTATATTAACATTAAAATTCTTAATTTTGATTTTTAATCAAACCTAATAGCCATACAAACACGAAACCCAAATTATTTTGAAAACTGATAGAATTGTATGATGCTTCTAATAACTAATTTCTTCCAAAAAATATTAATCCGTGACCAAATTGCAAATAATTATCTCCATAAAAATACGATATACATACATATGTTTCCCTTGCAAGAGGGCCAATATTTTTTTTTTAATACTTGTAGGGCTAATATATAATTTTAAATAATATTTAAAAATTTTATATGTGTGATTCCTTCGATTCCTGGTACATTCCGTCTCAAAAAATTATTTACAACTAATTAAATACAAGAAATCTTTCCAAGATCACTGATGATGGGTATTTGGTAATACTCGAAACAGCTGTATGGTCAGCCAAAAATTCAATTAATTAAAATAATATAAAATGAATTTTTGTTGTTGTTGTTCACTACTGTTCAAAAAACCTTTATGATTTTTGAATTCAATTCAAAAATTATTGTGAATAATATGTTAACATGAAAAAAATATGGAATTAGTGATTATTTTTAACAGTTTAAAAATACTTATATTCACATTAGTTTACATTTAGTAATTTAAGCAAATAACTAAAAATTATTAAACCCACCCACGGTTGAAATGAGGAAAAACACTAAATTGTTGCCAATTTTTTTAAAATTACTTCAAAAACGATTGACTGAATAAGAGAAAAATCCATTATCTCTGACATTATTAATGCTAATATTTGTGTTTAATATGTCAAAATTGATGAATGTCAAAAAAAAAATAAAAAAAAAACAGAAGACAGAAAACAGAAAACAAAACTAAGTTCCAAACTTGATTTGAATTTTCGTAGCAAAACGAAGCATAAATCATCTGCATAATTATGACAATTCAAATGCAAATTGAAATTTAAACTGAAATGTCTGAAATGAATCCACGCATTACAAATCTAATCTTTTTTGAGAGTGAAATTTGTTGTAGTTTTTATTGTCATTATTATTATTATTATACTTTTGTTGTTTTATTCATTTGTTGAGGAAAAAATTAGACTTACCAAAATGCTTAAGTTGACAAGATTTTGACGTGCCCCAAAAACCCACGCTGGAGGTTAGTTAAATATTTTTTCAGATAGTTTGTTTTATATTTTATAATAGTATGTGTATATGTGTACACTTGAGCAACATAATATACCTGTTTGTGGTTAAAAAATATTTTATAAACTGTAGTAAAAAACAGGTGTATCTGCACATGAGTTTTCACAGAGCGTAGATTGACTGACTTTACATATGTATATATCAAGTAACTTCTGAAATATAGGTAAAATTAAAAAAATATATATATGCATATTAATATATGTTTACATGCTATTAGTAATATTTAATAAATAAAGTAATACATTATATGCTTTATTGATGTAAATTAATTAGACATATTCGAAATCGACAGATTTTATCCTCAAAATCATTAAAACATATTTTAATAAATGGTTGCTTTTTGCTTTTCTAGTGTTACAAAAATACGTATTTCATTTCATTTCATTTAAAAATCATTAAATAAATTAATCTTTATCCAAATTTCGAATGCAGAAGTATATTACATATAAAGCATTTACGTCATAGACATTTCAATCTTGCAGTTTAAATAAAGTCACGTTTAGAGTGAAAGTAAAAAAATTATTTCATCGAAATTTTTGGTAACTTTACCAAGAAATTGTAAATTCCATTTTTATTGATTTAAAAGAAAATAATTTTTTTAGTTAAAAAATTTCACACCTTTTACGCTTAAATATAATATGAATCAATTTTTATGCATTCAAGACACAACAATTTTTAACAGAATTTAAAAATAAATAATATTTTCATATGTGTGATATCATCAATTTTAGTAAAAATAAATTCCTTATAATTTTACCAGCAAAATTGTTGAAATATTTTGTAAATTTGTCAAATAAAATGCATGTAAATATTTTATAACTAATTTGATAAGCATATAAAGCGATTTCTATAGTTTTTGACAATATAGTTGGAGATTGAACATATATACGAGAGCTGCTAGACAAATTAGTAATAACTGTATTAAATAACTTTTAAAATATATTTGTAATTTTTTTTATTATAATCAATATTAGATTTTCGATATAGGGAATTCTTTTGTACTGACAGTTATTTAAAATATAAAAATTTCTTATATTTATTAAGTACAATGTTTTCAAATAAAATTTAATATCCAATTAAATTCATTATATCATTTAATAAAAGAAGGCATCAAAACGATCATAGATCTGATACGAACCTCATACTCACCATACATCTATCACCGCCCTATCTATCCATCGAATTAAGGACAGCTAATTTCTGCAAAGGGTCTTCATTACTTTGACCCCGCTACTTAACTACGCATCATTAGTTTATCGAGTTTTATCGTGCACTTATATGCATCAAAATTTCTAAAAACCTAGAAAGATTAAAAGTGGTAACAATTTCAGATACAGTGGATAGCACTCATCTAATTGCGCAAAGTCTAGAATCAAGGTGGGCAAAATTACTAATGAAATGAAATAAAAATCTCAAGTGTATGTGTTTATAAGATTTTGTAAGAGTTTTTGCATTTAAAAATGTTGTAAACAAGACGTTTTTCGCGTTTACTCTCAGAGGATAAACAGTATAACCGCTCAGCCACTTCCAAAAAGTATTTTAATATATTACAAGAAAATTTGAAATAGTTTTTGAGTCGATTTATAACTTTAGATGTGATATGGGTATAACAACATAACTTGAGAACAAAAAGGTATTTGAGAGATGAACATTTACCAACAACCATAATAATGATTCATCACTATTGTTCAGAAAGTATAGAGAATTTGTTATTTAATGAAATAAATTAAAGTTTGATATGGTTTTTTGGGTCTTAATTAATTTACAAAGCGTTACTTTAAAGATTTTTCACATCTTTCGACATCATAATTATATATATTCACATCCATAAGAATGAAAATTAGATATATGTAGAAACCAGTCAAATAGACGATCGTGGCTAGCGCAATTTGCATTAACAAACTGATGAAGATTATATATAGTTCTCATGGTTTCCAACTTTAACTGTATTACGTTAGATACATACACACATATATTTATTATTAATATATATAGATTAATTTCAATACAAGAGGCTTCAAAGTTATTAATTAAAAAATGTAAAAAAAATTTAATTTAAAATAACAATAAATACATTAAAGAATTGCACGAGCCATTCGTGAGAATCTGATTTTTTATTAATTTGAAGTAATAATGGCTATATCACCAGAATAGGTAATTGTTCATGTTGAGTCATTTTCGAGTTAGTGTATCTGGGCACTTTTACTCTACTTTTACTCTTATAGCTGGGGGATAATTGTAAGCATTTCTTCTGTAGTGGCATTTCAAAAATAAAGATTGTATTACGCTTTGTTGCAGAACATCGGACTCAATTCAAGTAAACAAAATTTTCTATT